GGTTTAACATGGAATTATGTTTAGTTTATTCCCTGAATCACTGTGTCCTTCATCTTGTTGCAATGCTATTTTGATCTGGTTTGAATTCAATTGTTGTTTGAGTTTGCTGAGTTAAATAACAATGTTTGGTCTGATATGAATTGAACTTGAGTTCACTTTTGAGCCTTAGTTTATTCAGTTGTTGGGTCCCCCCAAGAGCATTGGTTATAGCTGAAAGATGTAGTATAGATTAAAGGGTTTGAGGCAGGACAGTAGGGGATTCCAGGATAATACACAGGGGTTTAGGAGGGTATTTTGGGAATGAAAAGGTTTGAAAATGGCTTAAGATGAATGGGCTAACAGTAGGGTACTAAAGTACCATTAAACTAATGAATGGTTTAAGTGCTAATGGGGAACAAAACATAATGGTAGGAGAAGGTTTAAAGGAAATGGATTAAGAAATAGGTGTCCATACCTGTTTGAATTTAAATAAAGAAAAGACAAGGGTAGTGGGGAACAAGTGAATTAAAAAGAGAGCAAAACATGTAGTAGTGGAGGAGGAATATCATGGGCAGAAAATATTTTCTTAATTAGCCAAGTGCTCCTTAGAGTTGGAAAGGGACTGAAGTTTGGCTATAAATAAGAGGGGCTGGACACAGTGTGAAGGGTCCGGAACCTGTTTGGAGAGGCTGGTCTGGCTGTTCTTTTGGGCAGACTTTAGAAGAGAAAAGGTCACTGTTTGAGAGGATCTTGAGGTCAGTTTTTAGTCAGTTAAAAGAGACAGCCCAGAAAGCTAGTGAGGTTTCAATTTTAAGAGTGTTTGAACTTGAGTCTAGAGTGTTTGATTACTGTTTCATCAACCCTTTGAGCAAGGCTTCAGTTCACTTTCAAATCTGAAGTATTTTGAGTAGTTTGAGATTCTGTTCTGTGCCTGTTTGGTTAAGTGTGAATCTGGAGCTAGATTTTGTTTCAAAGAACTGCATCCCATGGTTTGAGGTTGATTGGTTTTGGTCTGAGTTTTGGCTTGCTGTTGCTGTTGGTTTACAACCTCTCTGGGTTTTTCTGGGGCATTGATTGAGTCACTGCTGCTAGTGTATTGCTGTTGTATTGACTGCTACTAGTATGTTGCTGACCTCTTTCTTTTCTCATTATATTGCCATTTCCAGGTACACAGCTGTAACCCTGGTCATTTGTAAGCTGAAAACATAATCATGAATATACATGAAGATTTGAAGCTTTAAGTTTGATCTAGATTTTCTACTGACTTGTATATTAGGATATCTCACTCACTAATATCATGTAAATGCCTGCGGGATGTATAACTGGACAGTTCTTGTAATGACTTAATTTGGTGAACTTTCGAATGAATTTTATATCATGTATCTGCTCTTGTCTATTTCGAATGTATAGTTGTAGTCAATAATATTTGGTTTGTTTTAGCTTGATTATTAGGTAGTGTATTTCGAATGCATGTCCGTTAGAATCCGGCCTAATAGACTATTAAATTAATACAACAATCTAATTGTAACATCAATGACTTGAGTTTAGGATTAGGAATAGACATCTAAATTACCTCTTTCTAACTATTGCTCTTCTAAAACCTGTAGTAATATACTTAATTAGATATAATCACTTCACATTTCTGCGTGGCAAATTGTTGAATATGCGTAGAATAACTTAAGTAAGTTTCATTAAGTGTTTAGTTCGTTTAAAATCGAAAGAGTGATGTGTTTTGTTGAAAAGAGATCGACAGCCCGTATTTAGGCGGATTGGGCCTCCGCACTTGAATGAGATGGCCCAGGTCCTGTTTTTAACACTACATTCGTTTGGACCTGGGCCCAGGTTGGTGAATAGTCATGCCCGCCTGCGTACTTAGGTTTTGATTTTAAACGGGTGGCATTCATGACCCAATTATAAAAGCTCTTAAACCATATAATTAACCAGGATTCCTCCTTTTATTTTAGAAACGAACTAAGTAGAACACTATAGATTACTTTCGGTTTGCCCTTTAATTAATGAACGAGATGAGCTTCGCCAAATAAAGCACCTAGATTGTGGGGCCCTCGATAATTGTATATATTAAAATACTTAGATTTCGGGACAGGCCGTTTAGCAAGTTTCACGGCCATTTTCCAAAATAACAACGCGTTAGTCTCTTTAGGCGCGTACTTTAAATAATATTACCTTCTTAAACCCGGGTGCACATTTATATGACCCAAATCCAAATCTCAACAAAATCGAAATATGTCGATGATCACGGGTACATTGATTGTGACGTGGTTCGAGATGCATTTCCATGACATTGCGTTTCTTTTTTTAAATAATGAATGAGACGAGCCTCGACAAATAAAATACATAAGCTGCGGGGCCCTCTATAAGTGTTTGTAAAATTCCTTAGACTTCGGGATGAGCTATTTAGCAAAAGTTCACGGCCTTCCCCAAAAATGATAATACGCTAGTCGCTTTAGGCGCGCCTTTAATAATTTACTTTCTTAAACTCGGGTGCACATTTATGTGACCCAAATCCAAATCTCAACGGAGTCGAAATGTGTCGATAACCACGGGTACATTGATGTGACGTGGTTCGAGATACGTTTGCACAACGTTGCAATTCTCTGTTAAAATAATATTGATAATAATAAAACGGTTAAAAGTTAAATTTGCACATAAGTTCATAATTGTATAAAAATCAGATAATTAAGCCGAATATGACAGTTGAGCGACCGTGCTAGAACCACGGAATTCGGGAATGCCTAACACCTTCTCCCGGGTTAACAGAATTCCTTATCCGGATTTCTGGTTCGCGGATTGTTAAACAGAGTCAATATTTTCCTCGATTCGGGATTCAACCGGTGACTTGGGACACCATAAGTGGCGACTCTGAAATAAATAAATAAATCCCATTTCGGTTGTCCTTTAATTGGAAAAACTCCCTCTGCGCCCCGTTGCGGTGGCGCGGGTGAAAAAGGAGGTGTGACACCGTGCACGTTCTTATCATTTATATGGCGAGGATGAGTGATAGAGCATGAAGGGTGGTGCCGTACATGTTTCTATTATTTATATGGTCAGGTTGAGCGATAAAGCACGAAGAGTGATGTCGTGCACGTTCCTATTATTGATTACCTGGTGAGGTTGAGAGTAAAAACACAAAGGGTGATGTCGTGCATTTCCTGTTTGCTGTGTTTATTATTATTTCTGGTTCAAGGTGTACTAGCTGTTTAAATTCCTCTATTGTTGTGATTCTTTATCTTGCAACCCCCTTAGCATGCTTCCCCTCTCGTTAATATCTGCTTAGCTTCTGTTACTTGTTATTTCTGTTAGTATATGTTTTAATTGCACAAGTTTATGTATGTGTCTTGTCCTAGCCTCGTCACTACTTCGCCGAGGTTAGGCTCGGCACTTACCAGTACATGGGGTCGGTTGTACTGATACTACACTCTGCACTTTCTTTACAGATTTCGGTACTGGAGCGTGTTGACCCGAGTGGAGCTGCTGCCTTCAGTCCAATAAGAGACCCAAGGTAGATCTGCTGGCGTTCGCAGACCCTGGAGTCCCCTTCCAGTTATTCTAGTTTCCTGTTTTCTTTTACTTCGAAAACAGTTGTATTTTCTTTCAGCCAGTATTTGTGGTGACTCTTAGAAGTTCGTGGATTGTGACACCAGATTTTGGGTAGTTGTGTACTAGTACTTGGATTATTATGAGACTTTGCACTCCTTTAATCTGTTTTGGTTTAATTGCTGTTATTTACTGATTTGATTAGTGGTTAGTGTATTATATCTCTAGCTGTTGGCTTGCCTATCGTTCGGAAAAGTTAGGCGCCATCATAATCTCGATGGTGGGAAATTTGGGTCGTAACAGTACTATTAACACAAGCGACTCTATAATAATATTAGATAAATACTTTATTTTGTCCAATTATATATTTGTATTAAGAAAGTCATTAAATATATAAGAATACTTAGCTCAAAATTCAGTCAGCTAGTTCAATTATTATGGTATATTAACTTTACATCATTGTAGGCATAAATTTGAAACACTAGATCTGTCTCAGTCAAATAAAGGTAAAATTTGAATTGTGCTACTCTTTTTCAAAAATATTAAAAGTTGGAGGAGTGTCAACTTTTGTTAATTTAGCAATACTTCATGGCAAGTTTAATCTTGAAATACTAAAATTTCCTTGAAATATTATGAATTCTTGAAATACTACAATTTCCTCTAACTTTAATATTTAGTGATAGTGAGACAAGATCTGTCCGCAGTCAGCACTCTACCAATCTGTCAAATGGCAATCACTAATTTCCTTTTTCTGGTAATTAACACTATTTGTGAGTAGCTTTCGATGCACATGTAGTACAAATCGACAAAGCACCGTACTAACATTTTTAGCTTAATAACAACTCAATCATTTGTATGGAAATTCTAAAATAAAGAATCCCAAAATTTTTAAATAAAATTTACAATTCAATTGAAATTCTCAAAGTAGTAGTTGTTTCATTCGATTCTTGAGGACCAAACTATTTACTTACTTTTTATACTTATAAATAAATCGTTTAATTATTTTACAGTAGTGTTTGACTATATAATTTTTATTTTCAAAAGATAAGTAAATAATTGTTTAATTATAGATCTAAAATAGCAACCAAGTCAACCATCGTCAAGATTTATGTTGTGTGACAGAGATTAACCAGTACAATAATTTGTCTACTTTCTATTTTCAGAATTTTAATTTATATTTAAAATACTGAGAAATTGGTCAAATTAATTTCAATAAATCCATCAATTTGATATGGAAAATAAATTTACCCTCTTCACAAAATTCATACTTGTCCAAACTTGGTCAAGGATTTCATTACATTTTCAAAGGTTGTTGTTGGGGTGAGATTTCCCTAAAACCAAAGTCAATTATTTTCCTCCACAAATCTCGTTATTTAGATACTAATAATAACTCAAAAACAGCTTAATTAATGGCATTATCGTCATTCTCCTCAACTGTACGGAAAACATCTTGAATCTGAAGTTATATCATCTTCTTCTTCAGAAAAATTTGTCGGTGCCCTGTTCTATCACATCTACCTCAAATAACCAATTTCATTTTCCACAAAAATACTCCAAATTCTGCTTTTCTTTTTATTCCATTTACCTACATTGCCTATTTCTAATATTATAATTCTTCATTTTGTTAAGATCACATTTTCTTTTATCCCGCATTGCTACATGCGGGGATCATTAATCAGGTTTAAACATACCCTCTTCTCAATTTCTTCTTTTAATTGATATTTGTTTCAAAGTTTCAATTTTTATTAGATCTGAATGATAAAGTCCACATTTTTATTATTATTATTTCTTGATATTGCAGGTAATTTTGTGAGTGAATAAGGAAATGGGAGAGAAATCAAGAAAAGGAGGTTGGTGTGGTTGGATTATAGTTTTAATAGTGGTAGCAGCGGCTGCTGGAGCCATTGTTGTACTTGTTAAAAAGAAGCATAATGGTTCAAGCCCAGATGCTGCTCCTGTTCCTGGACCTCCTGGTTCTCCTACCAAGAAATATGCAGATGCTTTGAAAACTGCAATGCAGTTCTTTGATGTACAAAAATGTAAGGCCCCTTTTGATAGTTTGAAGTAATTTTGTGTTTTGTGCTCATTATTTAGATCCATGTTGAAACATTTTCATTTACATTAATGCAGCTCACTTGTTCGATACTGTAGTTTGTTTTAATTTACTTTCCTTTTTGTTGGATACACTTTGTCTTTTACTCTTGATCGTCTCCAGGATTTGTGTCATAATGACCTGGACTTTTCATATGGATGTTGCACTTTGTAATGTCTTGGTTGCTCATTTCTATATTTGTTAAAAAAATATTATTTACTGTAATTGCGGGCTAAACTCTTTAATTGAAGTGGAATTGTAATTTTCCTATTAAAGTTAGTGCAATGAACTGATCTGTAGCTGAGGCGCCTGTGCTGGTGTAGAAGGATTAGTAATAAGAATGTACCTTTTGGCAGTGAGGGTAGGGAACTTATTAGCTGTCTAAACTCTTTTCTCTTTATAATGTGGGACAAGGTTCAAATGTGTTGGTATCAACAGAGTTCCTTGATGAGGGTTTGGGAAGAAGCACATGGCCTTGTGTCTTTTGAATATGGAACAAGGTCTCAAGGTCACTGTATCAATTGAGCCTCCAATGAGGGGTTCGGTAAAGAGGTGCATAGTTCTTGTCTCCTTGCGATGTGAGACAAGGTCGTAAGGTGACAATCTAAGAAAATCACCCATTCGAGGGATTTGTCAAGATGTACATAGTCCATGTTCCCTCGAGAGCATCATCTAATGATGAATGGATCTGTCAATGAGTATTCTTGAGGTATTATTATGCCCACACTGGTGGGGTGGGAGCATTTCCCGAAAATACGCCTTGTTCAGTCACCTTATCACTTCCCAATGTGTGACAAGGTCCTATGGCGATGGCATTAACAGACACATTTCCTGTGACTGATTGTTATAAGTTTCTACTGAGGATGTTCCTATTATAATTTATTGTCATAGTTATATTACCATGACTTCAAGTACTGTCCAGATATTTTTAAAGATTGATCTTAATACATACTGAAATGTTATTGGTGACTGCCCTAACTTAACCTTGTTGCTTTACGTAACTTGTTTTCTTGGAGACTTGTTCTAGTTTTTGTTCTTTTAAATTTGTACGTTGGGCTCACTTTCTTAAGGGTAAAATCTCTTATTGTTTCAGCTGGGAAGTTAGTAAATAACAAAATATCATGGAGAGGTGATTCAGCTGTCAAAGATGGAAGTCCAGCAAAGTTGGATCTCAGTAAAGGAATGTATGATGCTGGCGACCACATGAAATTTGGATTCCCTATGGCTTACACTGCCACTGTGTTGTCGTGGGCCATCCTTGAGTACGGTGATCAGATGAAGGTTGTGGACCAATTGGAACCTGCTCAAGACTCACTCAAGTGGATTACCGACTACCTTATCAATGCTCATCCAAAAGATAATGTTCTTTATATTCAGGTTCTTGCCTCAATTTTCTCTTTCTCAAGTATGCTTTTCTTGCTGCTGCAGCATTCAAGACTTATAGGCTTGCTGGAATGTTGAACTTTGGTCTTACTTTAGGAAGACTACTGATATTTAGAGATTTCTGTTATGAAACTTCCTTGTTCTTCGTGGAAACTATTTAGGAGAATTCATCTTAAAGTGAAAACAAGAAAATTTCCCGAGTCTAGGTCATTGTGAGGGAGAGTAAGTTTGCCTAATGTGTTTAGTAAAAGAGTGCATGTAGTATATCATTACAGTTCTAATGATGCAGAGAGTGTCCTTATTTCTTGCACTTTGCCTCGTATCTATATTGTTAACTATTCTATGTTCACGTTTTACAATTTTGTTAATGATGGCCTGTTTGCTAAGTGCTTAGTTGCTTGCAACATATAATACAAGTGAAGTGACAAGAAGTCGGTAAGTATTTATAATGTGAAAAGAAGGCCCAGTTATAAAAGGCATGCCACTTAAAATGCCATAAACATAGAAACGTTTAGTCAGATATCCTTATCAGTAAAAGATGAACTATATATATTTTGATTCTTAAAAGATGAAGAACTATATTATTGAGTAGAAAATGACAAACCTCTAATATCCTACAGGAGTATCTTCAAATTACTATCAAAGTTTGATTGTCATGCATTACGGTATACTTAATACTCTTTTAATATGAATTAATAATTCTGTACTAATCAAGGATGGCTAAGCTTCATATCATCTCAAGCATACTGTCCATTTGTAGACCAACATGACGTTTCCATTTCCTGTCAATATTATATAGGAGAGTTTAAGTTTGCATCAAGTGATCTGGTTCAGATTATATTTAACTCTTTTAGTTGTTTAACAATTGCTTTTTCTGTTTTTGAACGTCAATCACGGTGATGTTTCATTTGATCACATGTACGTGAGTGTTTGTTTCACAAGCTCGACTCTTTGGCAGGTGGGTGATCCTGATGCCGATCATAAATGTTGGGATAGGCCCGAGGATATGACTGAGGAGAGGCCTCTTATTCAGATAAATGCTTCTGTCCCTGGGACTGAAGTCGCAGCTGAAACTGCAGCAGCTATGGCTGCAGCATCCCTGGTGTTCAAGTCCAGTGACTCGGCATACTCAAGTGATCTTCTTAAGCATTCTAAACAGTTATTTACTTTTGCCGACAAATATAGAGGTTCCTACAGCGAGAATATTCCTGAAGTCGCAACATATTACAACTCAACTGGATATGGGGATGAGCTCTTGTGGGCAGCAAGTTGGCTATATCATGCAACTGGAGATCAATCATATTATGATTATGCGACTGGGAAAAATGCAGATTCTTTTGGTAATTTTGGAAATCCAACTTGGTTTAGCTGGGATAATAAACTAGCTGGTACTCAGGTATTCTATTTTATGTTGGTATATATAAGCAGTGTGTGTTTTGGATGTGAATTACTCACTTTGTTTTTCATGTTTTACACTTGAACTATTCAAAGTAAACAAATTGAATAAGTCAATGACTGCTTTAATTGCAGGTTCTTTTATCGCGGGTCAGCTTCTTTGATTCGAAAGGCACCTCAAACTCGGAGACACTTCAAGAGTATAGGAAAACTGCAGAAGCCGTAATGTGTGGTCTCTTACCAANCTACCGAAATCTCCAACAGCAACATCCAGCAGAACTGATAGTATGCCCCATCTAACCTTAGCTCTATTTTTGTTCTTCCTGTTTTCTTCCCTATCAACACCTTTCTATGAGTATTGAGCAGATACTTGCAATTTTATTTGGAGTGGCTGACTTGCATAAGTCAATATAAAACGAGTCTATGTTTACAGATTGAACCTATGTTTTTGTCCTATTTTCCTCTCTGTCATGGCTTGTGATATAGAAGACAAATTCACTATAAGTAATGATTGAAGCATAAATCGAGAAACGATGTCTGAGTAGTAAATAGAAAAGCTGAAAATCTGCACCTAACCAGAACTAAATGCAATGAAGTAGAGATAAGAAACTACAGACATTCAACTTTTTTTTTAAAATTCTGTTGAGGCATTAACTTCATGAAGTCCATAGATCTAAAACAAAATTTTTTATGGTCTTTATACCACTTTGACTGATGGCTGGAAAAGTACTATCTTCTTCTCTTCTCATTCATTATATTTAGTAAGGAAAGAAAACTGATTGTGGTTTTAACTCTATCATGAAGCCTGTCTTAATCTTTTTCCTAAACCCTTTACAACATCCGTCTTGTAAGGAAAGATATGAGCTTAAAAGGGTAATTGTACTGAATGGTTAATTATTTCATTTAGTTCCACTCTCATTTCAAGCAAATGTTAAGAACTCATTTCATTAGTTTACTTGTAACCTAGTCTTTGTTACTCATTTCAAGCAAATGTTAATGCAGGTGGTTTAATATGGATAAGTGAATGGAACGCATTGCAGCATCCTGTAGCTTCTGCCTTCTTAGCTGTACTGTACAGTGATTACATGCTCACTTCTCGGACTGCAAAAATAACTTGTAATGGAGACGCATATACACCGTCTGATCTGCGGAAGTTCGCCATCTCCCAGGTACACTTCTTGGTCTTTTTACTTACTGAGAAGATTTTTTTTTCTTTGGATATTTGATCTTATGTTTTATCAATAAGCATCCAACAACTATGTCTTAATTCCAAGCACGTTGGGGTGGATCCGTTATATGAATCCTCAATCATGTTGCTTCATTTAAGTGCATCTCGATCCAATATCATGTAAAAGAAAATTTAAAACAAAAATAGAAGTACTAGAGTTTTCTATATTTACTACTGTCATTTAAATTTCTGATAGGACTAATAGACTTCTAGAAAACATTGGACCTGAAATAAGCGTACTAACATGACTAAAACTTAATTCTAACTAATTCGTGTTTCCTATAATCTTTTTCTTCCATTGTTCCTATTTTTTGCTAGGTAAAACTTAATTCCAACTAATTGGTGTTTCCTATATAGATCTTTTTCTTCCATTCTTAAATTTGCTAGGTCTGATTTTGAATTTACAAGCTTACGATTTTGGAAATATACCCCATCTTTGTAGGCTGATTATGTATTGGGTGACAATCCATCGAAGATGAGTTATCTCGTAGGGTATGGTGACAACTATCCACAATATGTTCACCATAGAGGGGCTTCCATTCCTGAAGACGCTGATACCAGTTGCAAAGATGGTTGGAAGTGGCTAGATTCGACTGAACCTAATCCCAATGTTGCGACTGGAGCTCTTGTTGGTGGACCATTTCTTAATGAAACATATATCGATTCAAGGAACAATTCAATGCAAGCAGAGCCAACCACATACAATAGCGCTGTCATTGTTGGCCTTCTTTCTGGTTTGGTTACCACTTCCTCTGTGGTTCAATCTTTCACCTGAGGTGATAGCCTTCACGCGTGTGCCACCTCGTGTTGTCTTCTACAGTATGTAGCTGCATACATAATTTTTTTATTTCTTGTAGCTCCTTGAACACATATATATAGGTGCATTATATATCTGTGTGTGTTAATGTTCGTGTGTACACATTACCTGCTCTATGTTACTAGTATTCGATTTACGCGCTCAACTGGCATATGAGTTTTTGCTGTATTAGTTTGCTCAAAAACATTATGCACTCTCTTGTTTTTCATCGCGTTAAAATTGCTAGATATGAGAGTTCCTATGATGGATTTAGAGGAACTAGTTCTGAGTCTTTTTTGTTATTGCAAATACTAGTTTGGCCATCAATATAGCTTTTTAGTAGGTAGTCGAGTGTGTGTCTTCCCCATACCAGTAGTATTAGTAGTTAGCTTTGTATTCTATTACTGATAATCTCTATTATTACATGTTGAGCATTCCACTTATTTTCTTATTATCTTGTTGTGGTTAGTGCTTGTTGCTACTCCTTTCTTCTCATCTTTCCTTGAGCCGGGGGTCTATCGGAAACAGTTTCTCTACCTTCAAGGTAGGGGTAAGGGCTGCGTAAACATTACTCCCAGATCCCACTTGTGGGATTATACTGGGTTTGTTGTTGTCATTCCACTTGTTTTCTTATTATCTTGTTGTTCTTACTGCATGTTGTTACCGCTTTCTTTTCATCTTTCCTTGAGTCGGGGGTCTATCGGAAACAGCCTCTCTACCCGGGGGTCTATCGGAAATAGCCTCTCTACCTTCAAGATAGGGGTAAGGTCTGCGTACACATTACCCTCTCCACACTCCACTTGTGGGATTATACTGGGTTTGTTATTGTCATCCGTGTAGCTTTATTTTGATCGAAAAGAACAAGAACCAATCTCAGACCCCACTTTGTTTTTGCCGTTTAATCTTGTCTTCTAGTCCAAACACAGTCCATTGAGAACATCTTATGAAACATGATTTGATTTTTCATGAAAGTTGAATTCAAACTGATGTGAAACCGACCAGAGGCAAACATAGTACATACGTGCCACTCCACAGTGAAGCTAAGCTAATCCCAATATCTGAAAGTGTATACATATGATTGAGTAAAAAGAGCAGCTTTTAAAGAAAGTAGCAGAAGATGATATGTTTTTATGTTGGGTTCCAATCACTATACCAACTAAGTAGCAAAATGGAGTGGTCTGTCCACATATGCAGTCCACTGTTTTGATGTAACCTTATCTTGTTTCTAATTTGGTATGCTACTGTAACCATTATGCATGTGTTAAAAAGTTGAGAAGGGACACTGTGTTATGTTGTGCTCTCACAAGTGTTATTCACACAAGGCAAACATAGTATCCCTTATCTTGGTTTTTGTATTGCTTTTGCATTTTGTTGTTGGAACTCAAGTCTCTTGCTTTAGTCAAGTTAAAGGCTAGATTCATCTGCCCTATCCTGTTCTGTTCTTGTTCTACTATTCAATAATGTCAACTAGTTAATCAAACACATGTTTTTTTGTGTGTCTAAATTGCATTAATCAATCCATCAACTGTCTCAATTCCAATTAGGTGGAGTCGCTTATTCATCATAACTAGACTAATTTTACACCACTGTCAACCTATTGCAATCTTCAAAAAAGAGAATAGCACTTCAGATTCCACTTGTGAGATTATACTGAGTTTGTTATTTTGTTGTTTTTGTAATTATGAATACTATCTACAGTTCCTCATGAATCGTGACGTACATCTTTCTCTCGAAGTTCTTATCTCATGCACCTGTACTTAAAAAAAGAAATTTACAAGTACTAATGTATACGTCAAATTAATTTTTGTATAATAATAGTGGTATCTAGATTAACTTGTATCCGTATCGACTATTATATTGAATATAACATAATGAATTAAGAATTTTACATTGGGTGAAATGTAAATCCAATTACGGAGAAGGCCAAGAGATAAAAATAAATATGACTCGTGCAAATAACAGGGTTTGTTCCAAAATAAAGATCCATTAATACTAATAAAGAAGTTTACACTTTTTACATTAGAGGAAACACAATCAATAACTATAAAGTGACAAAGGAATTAGTGTACATAAACAACAATCATATACAAACAGAAATACAATTACTTGTACTACATCAACCTCTCCTGTTTAATCAGGCTTTGATTAGCCTAATAGACAAAATGAATCAACACTAAACAAAATAATTATGTAATATTTTTTTCTGTAAACTAATGATCAACAGCTAGTTAAAAGTGCTGTATTATCTAATCCAATTTTTTGAAGTGTCAACGAGCAATTTCCAATTTTGTAGTTGTGTAGCCTAGTTGTTGCTCCATTTCCCAACTTAATTTTGGTGCCACTCCATTATGCTTCGGAACATAATCCTACATAATTAAACACATTTAACATGTTACAACAACAACAACAACCCAGAATAATCCCACTTAGTGGGGTCTGGGGAGGGTAGTGTGTACGCAGACCTTACCCCTACCCTGAGGTAGAGAGGCTGTTTCCAAATAGAACCCCGGCATCCTTCCCTCCAAGAACTTCCCACCTTGCTCTTGGGGAGACTCGAACTCACAACCTCTTGGTTGGAAGTGGAAGTTGCTTACCATCAGAGCAACCCCTCTTGCCCAAATAGACCCCTCTTGCTTAACATGTTAAAATAGGAAAATTAACAAATACTAATTCAAGATTTTAAGTCAGTAAATACATAATATCATTACGCCGTAGCGTGATGAATTATGAGTAGTACCTCAAGCTTTGACATGAGTTCGTGGGCAGTTGGGGCAGAAATAATTATGTGACGGGCAGAAGGTGTGACGAAACCTTCATCAACAGCTTTGTCTATAAATGACAATAATGAATTGTAGTACCCATCTACATTAAGTAAACCTACCTGCATTTACGTACAACACAAGTTAATTAGAAAATTTAAGAGAATAATTCTTATGGTCCTAGATTAATTTAAAAAAAGAAAATACTAAAGTCGGTCCATATTATCTGTTTTTTAAAGTTTTAAATATTCTTAGAAGACTAAAACAATGTTTAATCGCCTTAATCATAAGAGTATTTGTGTAAACTATCTTTAATCTTTCCACAAACATCTCACTTTATTAACACTTCACTAATAGGCACAGGGGCGGAGCTACAGAGCTGGTACGGATTCAGCCGAACCCCGTAGCTTTTGTTTAAATCTTGTATTTATCTTTTAAAAATTCATTAATTATGTACAAATATTTATTTAGAACTCAGTAATTTAAAGGAATCAGACTTCCGAACTCATAAGCTTGAAATTCTAACTCCGCCTCTAAATAGGCAGTCCACAATCGTGTAAATATGAAAAATACTACTACTAACAAATTACTTCTTTTTTCTAAAACGACAAATATCTTGAAATAAATTCAGTTTATCGAAACAATTAATATTTATGACCGAATATTATAATTTATAAGTTGATAAGCGTTTATTAGCCAAAAGCAAAATAGTGCTATAATTATTAGTCATCAGTCACTTATTTTGTCGTTAAAAACAAAAACAGAGGATTAAGACAAGAAATCATACTGGTTTATCATGAATGCCTAATTGAGCCCAAGTGATGACTTCTAAGAGTTCCTCTAATGTCCCATAGCCACCTGCAAACACGATTAAGATGAGATTAATTTAGGATTAGCTGTTTCCCAATTAGCGACTAATTTGAATTATTAAATGTAAATGACAAACCTGTTTTTTACTGTTTCCGTATTTGTGAACATTTTGGTTTGTCCACTTACGTAATTGAATGATACGTGTGAAAATTGATATGATATGAAAGCAACTAAAGACTTTGATAATTACTTTTTTAAATCAAGATTTAATAAAGAATAAATAGTTAAGTAAAATGTTTAAATTTCATTTAAAAAAGGATTAACCTGGTAAGGCTATAAATGCATCAGCTTGCCTTGCCATTTCTGCCTTTCTTTGGTGCATCCCTGAGACTGCCCTCACTTCTCCAACACTCTCTCCTGTAATCTGTAAAAATAAAATAATATTAAAAATCACATTATGAAAGTCTAGTCTAATATAAATTTACACAAAAGATATGTGGTAATAGATTTATCTTTTACATGTGAAAATTTAAAAAGTTTAGAGTTAGCAAATAAGCGAATTAGGTCAAATTTGGGCAGATAAAATCAATAAATGAATCATGATCCGATTCATCCCAAGTTTGTTTGGTTGAAAATAAAGTCAAATGACAGGTCATAACTCAAGTCGTGCAACATGACCTAATCTACCTTCCTTTTTATTTTATTTTTTGAAATATATTTGAAAACCAATATTATATTTTTCTTAAATTATTAGCTAAAAATCTTCTAAATTTACACTATTTTCAATCGCTATTGATGATTTTTCATGTTAGGCTCGCATTATGATCAGTTAGTAGTATACTACTTGACTTTTTTTTTTTTTTTACCTAATAGTTTGATCGGTCATTTTAAATTCAATAAACCAATAAACGAAACATATTACAACACGTATAAACTTGGACGTATTTGGTACGTTACTTGAAAATAGATTAATCTTGTCACCTTTAAAAAAAATCCAACTAGATAATTGTCGTAGACATTTTGACCATAACAATTTGCTACTAGTACTAGTAGATGAGAATGGTCAATATTTGACTGGTAAATATGTCAAGAAAAAACAAGAAAGTACAAAAGTATTGTACCAAAACCATTAATATATCCAAAATATATGTACTACTCAACAATAAATGGAGCACATAAATATCTATAGTGATAGTTGCTGTTTTAAAAGGTACAAAGACAAATTACCTCTCTTGGCATAAGAGTTTTAGGAATTACCCTGCCCAAAAAAAAAAAAAAAACACAGAGGAGATTTAATTATTGATAAGATTTTAATAATAAAACAAAAAACAAAATAAATGGATTTTAAAAAAAATATTGGTACCCTAACACGTGGCGGCCACCATTAAAAACTGCTTGAGAGACTAGACCCATTAAGCCAACACTTCCACCTCCATAAACCAAGTCGATGTTCCTTTCAACCTGCCAAATATTATAATTTATTTTATATTTTTAATTAAGACAAGTGTTTTTTTAAATATATTTTTAATTTGAACAAACATTACTTGTCTGAATTGCTTACTCCACTAAATTCAACGTGAATCCCATTTAAAAATAATTACTTCACGTTAATCTTACTCATCACCAACTGTTTTAATTTTGTAACACCAAATTAATCCAACCTGATTTCTTAATGCAAAACTTATAAATAAAAATGAAAAAAAAGAAAGA